TACTTTATTCTCCTACTATTCTCCATGTTTTTATACTTACTTGTTTTTGCTAAATAAACTTTCTCCTGTTTCTGATGTTTTGTGTCAAACAAATTTTTCTTTTGGGCCACATCTGCATTATCAAGTATTCCAATGGGCCGGTTGCTGCTGTATAACTAAACATTTAATTTTATCATTGTATTTAATAAAGACCTCACTGCTCTATCAAAGCTTTATTGTATTTAGCAGTTTAGACCACTTTGTTTTAAAGAACAAATGCCTCCATTTTCTGACACCATATGCCTTTTTTGGCTCTTAAAGAGCCAGATAAATTGCTGATGGGGCAGTTACAGCCTGCAGGCATTCAGTTTGTGCCATGGATCAGTGTTTCCCAATCTTTTTTGACTTGTGTGCCCCTTTGAGCATTTTTTCTTACCATGAATACCCCCCTCGGTCAAAAGTATTGATGACTGCCAAAGAGTAGAATGTACAACAACTGATTATAAATTAAAAAGTATTCTATTTAATCTTAACTTCAGTATTTAAATCTTTGGCATTTTATTCTTTCAAACTTAAATAAAAAAATATATATATAAATATTCCGCGCTGAAGCTAATTAGTAATAAAAATAAATGCAAAATAAAATCAGATTATAAATCTACCTTTATATAACTTGAGCTCCTCTGAGTAACTCCCCTTTAATCACACATAATCTTGGGATTTTTGAATAAAATACTGAAAAACCAATTATAGTCAGGCTCACTCCATTTGTTTTACATTGTTTTATACATCCATGACACCTGAGCTGCTTTGATGAGCTCCAATAGCTCAGGTGTGGGGAAACAGCTGATCCCAGGCTGTTCTCTACATCCAGTCTGTTCCTCTGCTTGGTTCTGATGTGTGTCGAGGCTGAAGGTGAACTCAAACATATGAGAGAAATATACTTTTGTTTGTTTTATTTTTCAGTTGGGTCTTCACAAAGTAGAACAGATCCCAGCCCTATTTTATTTTATTCCCTGAGAAATAAATGATGTTCATGTATCCTTTTGTCCTGTTTCTCTAACTGGCTGGATGTGATCTCTTCATCCTCTGACATGGGAGCTGGCTCGGAGCTCGTCTGCCTGGCTGTGTGTTTCCTGGATGGGGCCGCATTTTACAGTTGCATTTTACAGTTGCCTTTTATATCTCCTTGAACCCCAGTCAGCCTCGGCAGATGGCTGCTCACACTGAGCCTTGTTCTGCTGCAGGGTTCTTCCTGTTAAAATTGAGTTTTACCTCTCCACTGTTGCTAAAAGCATGCATAGTGTGAGGGATTGCATCAGAGTCAATGAGTCGATGCAATCAACTGGTTTTCCTTAGATAGAAAACTTTGAATCAATTTGACTGTATGATCTAGTGAGCTCTAAAGTGCCTTGGGATGACATGGGTTGTGAATTGGCACTATATAAATAAACTGATTTGAATTGAATTGAATACCCCTTGCAATGTACTCGCTGACCACTAGGGGTAAGCGTACCCCCTTTTGGGAATCACTGCTTAGTGAAGCCTGTGTTTGCTTATGTCTTTTTTTCTAGAGAGGAATTTGTGCTCTTTCCTTGTTCTTTGTTAAGTTATTATCAGAGCTAAAAAGCTGCCGATAATTATTTGCAACCCAGTCTCATAGGTGTTATTTGCCCTCCTTTATTATCAGAGCTACAAACCTGCCGATAATTATTTGCCCTCCTTATCTTGTTTTAATTGAAAAGGATCTCCCGGACTACTGCTTATCTGTTTTTCTTTTTCCCGTGGGTGCTTAAATCCCAGCTGAGGCTGGTAGTTTCTTATATTAGGCCAGGCTCTTCTATTAGAGGAGGTCCGATAACCAGCAGGTTGCTAGTTTAAGCCCCGACTCCATCGTCTCATTGATGTGTCCATGTAGTGAGGGCATAACAGAAAATAAATCTATCGTTTATCGTTTTATCTACATTTCTGTCTTAATTATAATTTTAAAATTATTCCGGATGTTCACAGATACACACTAATACTATAGTACTAAGCTGCAGCTACAGATATATCCTACCCTGACTATCATTGTGTAATCACCGTAGGTTCAGACTCAGACACATGTGGAAGGATACCTGCTGCTCTTGAAGCTTTTTTAAAAAAAAGTTTACTTTGATTGTCTGTTGTCTTCTTTTTGTTGTTATGCTCTCTGTTTTCTATTCCTTGCATCTCATACAGGTATCGATGCAGACTTCTACAAGTTATTGTATATCTTCTGTGTTGTCTATTTTTGTAGTTTTATTTTCTCCCTTTTCCTGCACTCTTTCCTGTCTCTATCACTCCCCCTGTCTTCCCTTAGTTCTTATCTCCTCTTTCTTTCTTACCTCCCTTTCCATATCTGTTGTATATGATTTTACTCCCAGAATAATGTTCAATTAAGTTTAATATACAAATATCAAACAGTACCTAATGGCAACAGTCATACTGGTCTGCTTGTGAAAGCAAAGCTATTGGGCAACCAGTTAGCTGTGGGACATCAACTCCCAGACTTATACTGGATAAAAAAAGACACTCAATAGGTAATAATTACAGTCGTGTTGAGATAGAATCGCAGTTTTCAATTGTTAAAACTATTTTTGAACCAAATTAAGAGATACGCTAATCTATTAAAGTTCAATTTTTAATTTTTACTGTATTTTATTAAAGCTATACATTGTCATTTAAAATAAGTCAAAAATATTTAATGTTCCTGAATCATGAATGTACCGTTATGTACAGGAATATTACATATATTTGATTTATTTTAATTACATTTTATAGCTTAATCAAATCAGAATTAGACCTTCATTAAGAATTATAAACCTTACATTCCAAAGAATAGCTTTATTTTATCTTTTAGAAGATGTTTATTCAGCAACAAATAATTTCAGCTGCTTTGTTTCCAATGGTAAGGGATTTTTAAAATTTTAGGTCAATGAAATTTATATTTTCAAATCAAAACTACAAATGTTCTGTTGGAACAACATTAAATTGTAATAAAACTAAATGAGGTGTAAATTTCTCTTCATTCATTGTAAAGCTACAAGTGGATTTTTGGTTCTGCAGTTCTCTTAATCCATTTAAAGTGTTGATTTATAATCCTGTTTTTTGTTTCCTGTTTCTCTGTCACCACTCACCCCCGTGGTGAGCCTGACATAGTGAAAAAAATTGCAAATCTTCTTTTGGAACCATTTAAACAGAGCATGCACGAGGAGAAAGGGGCTTGTGCATGCACTTGCATGCGTTTATAGGTGTTCCCTCTCTGGGGCAGGTACAGGGTTGTGCATGTGCATTTTCTGGAGAGGGTAGGTCTTTTCAAAAATTAGCGAAAATCTTACATTATACCTGTAATTTCAGCTGCTATCATAGAAATTACAGCAAAGGAAACAAACGGATTCAGTTACCTGGTTTCCATCAGCAATCTGTATTCATAATAAACTAATTTTGGTTATACCATACAGCATGTAAGAGTTATGTATTAGACTCTTATAAATTTAGATGTAACTTTATGATATGATTGTTTTGAAATCAACAGGATTTTTCAAACTGAATACAGTAGGGCTCAACAATGAATCCGATTAGTCGCGATGAATCGATTATTGAAATTTTTTTAAACTGATTTAGTAATCGATTAAACTTTAACTGGAGTATAGAGACTCTAAAAGTCTATAATTGTAGCAAGATTGTAAAAAAAAATATATAAAAATGTTCCATTAAAGATTTAAAAAAAAGAATTTCATCTATCTATATGCTCTATCCAGAACTCCTTGAGTGGAGAAGTTTGAGTTTCACCTGGATTGATTTCCTAAAAATTCTTCTTTGAGGAACCTTTGGCTATCTGATTATCAATTTAAAAAAAATTATCCACAAATTAATACATTTGCTAAATAACCTTTAGTTGCAGCCCTACAATATAAACAGAAAGGGGGCCTCGGTGGGGCCAGTGTTTTTTCATGGGGGCACAGAACAAAAGAATAACAAACATGCAAAATTTGCAGGGCTAGAGAACATCGTTTAGTAGATATGGTAAACAACAAAGCCAAGGTTGTAGACATCTGAAGAACAGATGAAAACTATGATCTTTATATGTCAGAAGCTTATGGCTGACAGTCATTTCTAAATAACTAAAATTGAAGTGGTACAAGGGATGAATCAGTTATAGTTTCTTCTGTCTGTGTAAATAATCCTAAGAAGTTGATATAGTAATACACAGCAGAAAATGATCTAAAAGAATAAACATGGGCAAGTTATTTTGCCCTTAATTTAAGCATGAAATTAAGATGATCTGCCAAAGGAATTAGCATTTCGGCTCTTAAAATAAATAATTACAGTTATTCCCTTGAATTACATTTTTATATTTTATTATTTTAAACATGTGACATTATATTCCAAACTGCAAGAACAATGGCCTTTTATTTTGTTTGCAATACAGGGGCACTGGCCTCTGTTGGCCCCTGTGTAGAACCGCCTGTGCTCATATAGTGCCTTTTGGTGGCATTTTTTTGTCACTTGGCTCAATGCAAAGTAGATTGAACTGAAATCCCTGAAACACTTCTGATACAAATGGCCTAGGGGAGTTTATAAAAAAAAAAAAAAGCAAAACTATGCTTCCATGATCTCACTGGAGTGAATGAGCTTCATCATGAAAATGATCCAATTCATGGTAGAATGTGATGGTTGTTATGATCTGAAAGGGGTTTGTGTCTCCTTCATCTCTAACCCTGTTTGGTATCAGGAGACTCTCACTCTGAGCTCAGTATAAGGAACTTGTTCATCCCCATATCACCCCCACAATGGGGGAAGGGAAATAAATACATAACACCAAAAAACAAATATGGACCATGATAATGTGAAAAAAACATCGTTGAGTTGCCAAATGTTATGAAATGTCCTTACAACTGTGTGTTTACCACAGAGTCTCCTATGTGTTTCCTGTCAGTGTGAGAGCAGGCCATTCGTTGTGGAGGGGGTGGTGGAGAAAGCTCCAGGGTGGTGACTTCTCTCCACCCATTAGTAAACTGTAGAAAGAGGGAGGGAACTGGAAGTCAAATAGGAGAGCAGGAGGTTGATCTAATGAAGGCAGCCAGAAGCAGTGAAATGTCTCTGAAAGAAAGTTAAATCTCAAGAAGAAAGAAAGAGGGGAAAATTTACAACTCATGGGTTCAGGATTAGAAGTTTAAATAACATACCTTCCTGTTGAACTTGATTTAGTTTTAATTAGTAGCCTTTTCCCCTTAAGGTAACTTAACGCATGGTCTGAAGATTTTATTTCCTCTGAGAAGACACACAACTGCAGTAAGTACATAATGTTTTTCATTTAAAATTATCAGGGTTTTTATGTTGTATATGTGTGTTATTGTTTATAACAGTGTAGATGTGTGGTGAGGGGCAGCTGGAAGAACCGGTCAAAGACACGTGGCATTTAACTAAAACAGGCGCTCAATCATTTTAGGTCTCCTCAAACTGGCGCATCTTCAGAAACCCGCGAAAAAAAAAAAAAAAGCACAAAGCTAAAATACATACGAGGAAGTTGGGAAATCAACATTTTATCTCTATGAATAGAGCTGAAATGGTGGTAATGAATGCGTCGGAAATGAGAGTGAGAGCCTGCCATGCTTGAACTGGGTTCCTCATTCCTTCCTTATTGTAGTAAAGCATTGTTTCAGTAATCTACCTGGGTGGATCTTCCTTAGAACAACTATAGCAGGCTGACTAATGATGAAAAAAATGCATATCACAACTTCCAAGATCCGATCTCACCGTATTTGTAACTTTGATCACCTTTTTGAGTGAATGGTTTTTGTCTTTTAAGGATAAAGATCCGCGATGACTTCACTGCCCTCCTCGAAAATTAGAATTTACCAAAACGTAGATTCAGATTCATTTAATTGTGAAGTTAAATGCTTTATGCATATGATTTTTGTTCTACTATTATAGTTATTGGTTTTGTTTAAAATGTTAATAATTATTTTTCAAATAGCTAATAAACGATAAAGGGGTGCTGTTCATCATACCTACTGAGCATGCGTAGTTTTGTCAGCGGCAGGAAAATGTCTCCTAACCGCATTAACAAGATGTTATTTTAATTATTTTCAAAATGAGAGTTATTTGGTTTAATAAGTTCAATAAACAATTTTTGCAGGCAGATATTAATGAGTGGCCAGTATGTATTTATCCCTTAAAAGAGAAATTAAATTACAAGTTTTTTCATGTGATATGTTTATAATCTTAAGTGCAACAACAACAAAAATAAATAAATAAAGTGGTTACAAGCTTGTTTGTTTAGGAAATGTAAGTTAGAAAGGAATAAATTATGTAAAGTTTGTATCACAGGTTGTGTGTCCTGCAGCAAGTTAAACAGATCTGGTTTAATTATCTGTTCCCTTTCAATATTACATTTGGACAAAACAGACAAAAAATACTGCAAACACTCACTGGACATGGTGTGCCTGCATAAAACTTTGAAGATGTTTTATATTGTCACAAATTGTCGACATACATAAAACAATTGCATAGTATTTTTAAAATATTAATTAGGCACTGTTGGTTCATCTTTTAGCTCAAAAGTATGAAACCGAAACATAGTCTTTTTTTTATACCTTGTTTATTGATAGTCAAAAATACTAAAGTTTTCATAAATATCAATATGTGTGCATTTTATGTAGGATATGTGTGTAACTAATACCTAAAGATCTTACTAATTGTTTGGTTCCTTTTGCTTGTTTTAAACGGATAATTACGACTTTTCGTTGAGCAAGTGAACGCAGCATTGTCGCTCCTGCACGGGCCGCCCCCGGGAGTCAGTAACCGGACCCAGGCTGAGGTCACACCCGCAGAGAAACAGCTGCCCGCCCGGCAAGGCGGTGACTGAGGGTCGTTCTGCAGCCTTTGGTTTATTTTCTTGGAAACTTGGGAGGATAAAGAGTTTGTCCTGAGCTTCTTTATGTCCGGCAGAGAATAACAAACACGGAGTGTCGAGGTCAGGATTATTACCCAGCATGGAAAAAAGGAGCATTGGATGTGAGTGGGAAGAGAGGCGGTTAAAAAAAAGGGAAAAAAAGCTGGGAGCAAGATGAATCAAACAGTCATGGCCAACATAAGCACATTCTGTCATTTATATATATAAACAGACCGAGCATGTGTCCCAATTGATTCTGCAGCTTGGATGGACTAAAACATTGGCAATATTGCATCATTCTGGAGCCCAGGTATTTCAGGAAACAGCTTCCAAATATGGTGCTCCTCACAGTGTGCTTCCTACTCTCCCTACACGCCCAACCAACACGCTTCGCAGTGTTGTGTTAGGAGTCACAACTAGCTACCAACACTAAGAACATACTGCTTTCTTGTTTTACTTATTGGTAAGTATTTGTTGTGTTGACTCCTCAACACTATCACAACACAAAGGCCCTCTGTGTTTTCTAAATACAGAGGAGTGCAGCAGGTTTAGTCACACCGCTTAAACTTTTGTCAAACAAAAAAAATATATTTTTTTTTCTTAGCTGGGTTTTATTTCTTTTTTTAGAAATAATAATGTGTGACATTTGGCATGCATTTGTTTGCTGCCCCCCCATCATTTTTTTTTTTTTATGTTGAACTACCCTCCACTGCCATTATAACAGGAACCTCTGGCGTATGTCTCTAAATGGCCTTAAACTTTTATTCATTTTTTGATGGGAAGTATTAGCAGCTCAGTGAATAATTGGTGAATATGAATTCCCACATCTTGCCACAGATTCTCAATTTGATTTTGGTCTGGACTTTGACTGGGGCCACTCTGACCGAGGCGACTGCTTTGTTTATTTCATAGTACCCCTGGTTATATGTGAAGCCCAAAAGATTAGTTGCAAACTTTAAACACAACTTTCTAAAAGTCTGGATTTGTGGAGAGTAGTAACAATCTGTATTCTGCCATCTGTAACCCTTCCAGAGGTACCAGGGGACTCTTGCTATTACTTCTCCAAAGGATGCTCTCCTCCTCCGACCCCTCATTGTAGGTTGACAGCCAGGTCTTGATTGGTCCTTTGGATATGTAATGCTGTTTTATTATCTTCTCTAGCGAACCTGTAAGGCCTTCTGAGAGCTTCTATATGTATACAGTTTGAAGCCCTATTTCCCAAGAAGACTTCCCCTGCTCTGGATTTTTTGGGGGGCATTGGAAAAAAGATGGTTACAAACATACACCAAATGTTCTAGATTTGTATAACAAAAAATGTGTTGAAATCACATTATTTTCATTATATAAATTCACTACTTCGTGTCAGGCTCAGAACAAAAGGACAGCGTTTTCGAGGCAGAGAGACAGTTCGGTTTCACAAAAGGTTTATATAAGACAGAACTGTAGAGAACAGCGTTGGCGTCTTAAGGCAGGAACTTCTGGTCTTGAAGTTCAGTCCATGCCCAGAGGATGAAGTTGGTTCCAGCCGGTTGGCTGCCATCAAGATGAGGTGAGCTCCGCTCCGAGAGTCCCGGATACTGAAGTCCCAGAGGTTGGAGGACAGGTAGGACATCAGAACCGAGCAGATGAAGGAATGCAGGAGAATCTAGAGGGTGAAGCCAAAGGTATCAAGGACATGCTTGGGAGTCAGAGCCAGGAGATCAGAGATCTGAAGAGGTACCGAAGGGAAATCCAGGACGAACTCAGGAAGCAGTTCCAGGTTCGGTACACAGCCAGAAATCAAGCAGGAGTCCGAATACAAGTCAGGCAAACTGATCAGAACGGTAACAGGCAGGCTCAGAGGTCCAAAGGCAGAACGGGTCAGGATCAGGCAATCAGACACATTTAGATACGCTAGAGAACTCTCTTCAAAGGCCTCAAATAATCTGGCATTAATGATTGCTTGAAGGTTAATTAAATAGAGGCTGGAACAGGCGGATCAGATGAACAGTAATGAGAACTGGGCAAAGTTAGGCAGGTGAATGAAGTTAAGTAATCGGGCCAGTCATCAGTGCCAAGATCATGACACTGTTGTGTTATCTATGTTAGTTTCTTCTGTGGAACATGATACAACTATTTAAAAAACTAAGGGACAAGGAACACTTTTGCAAGTCAGCAGATGCTGGCATTATGTCAAAGATCAATAAACAGGATGGAAAAGCTTCAGAAGAGCAGCAGACACATTGCTCAGTTGTGCTGTGTGTCTCATAAAAGTCCACCTGCTCCTATAACCTGAGCCTGGGCACTTGATACCACAGCCAAACACACACGGTTACTCTGATACCTTAGAGCCACGGCTCCTGGTTATTGTCTTCAGAGGACTTGTTCTCTTTGTGTGCGCTGAGTTGCAGCGTTTACCTTGTGATATTTTTGTACAAATCCAGGCCAAGAAAGGAGCCTTTAATTTGTCAACGTTGTTTATATTGGCTCTACTCCTGTCGTTCTACATATAAACTGTAATATTTCTAAGGAGTGTGCAGCCCTAAAGTTTCTCTTAAGTATTTATAAGATGAAGGAATATAAAAATAATCTCAAAACTAAACTATGTTGGATTTGAAGACCTGTATTAAAATATGAAAGTCCTAAGCAGAGAGTTCAGTTTTTCGCTGTTGTTAGCAGCTTCTGTAATGTTTTTTCTGCTTATATTAAAATGAAAAAAGACACAGTGCATGGTTATGGAGACAGTGGTTTTATTTGCTGCTGAAGCATAGTATATTTTGTCTTTAACTAATATTTGTTTGCATTTAACAAACATAATAATTTCTTCTAAGATCAAATATAAAAAAGTCTGCTGCAGTTTTCATGCCAGGTCTTGTGCTGTTTACACATCACATGTTGTTTTCAAGGACTTTCTGATGTTGGTGATAACAAACGATTAGGACCACCTAATTGTTTTTCTCATGAGCATTTTTATAAAGCATATTACTGATTTGGGAACTGCTAGAGAGGTTAACGGAGGACATTTCTAATCATATTATGGTGGATTACCTCAAACTGTAGCAGTCAGTTGTAACATGCACTCCATAGGAACATTGTGAAGGCGTGCAGATCATGCCTTCACAATGTCGTTCTTTGTCAGTTTTGGTCTCTTTATAACTCATTCGTTTCAGGTAAAAAAAATTAGTTGCATACATCAGTTCAGAAGTTCATATAGATTGCTTTCCAGATATTAGGTTGCACTTGTATCACTAAAAAGGGCCAAGCGGTGACAAGGATTTTCAGAGTGATTTTTAAAGAGTATGTCTTAATTTTTTTTTTTTTTTTTTTTTTTTTTTTTTTTTTACATCATTTAATAGTTTAGTTAGACTAAATGTTGCTTTGAGGATAGAGAACATGCTATAAGAAGTTTCATGGGTAGTCTCACAATTGGAAAATATGAATTCAATTCCAGCTTCTTGCCTTGATAAATATTGACTGCATTTAGGCAAGGCTCTTTATCTCAGGTACCAACCATCTCATTCCATACCAACTGTACATGCAGCTCTTGAGTTTAAAGTTGCTTTGATTGGTCGACATGACTTGAAAAAAGCTTCACAAGTTCAGTGCATAAACTGTTATTCATTTAGTCTTAAAAAAGACTTTTGTTGCATATCCCGGTTAAAATAATATTAAAATAAACAGAATCCATCAATAACAGATGGTAGCTCAGACCTTAAAGAACAATGGAAACTTTCACAGAAACAGTAAATTTTGCATTATTAAACTCAAATCAGTTAATTTATATAGTGGCACATAGGGCTGAAACAATTAATTGTGATTGATCGATTATTGAAGTGATTTATTTAATCAATTAATTTAGTAACAAATTAATCATTATCTAGAGTGTAGAGACTCTAAAATATGCCTTTAGCTCACAGAACAAGCCACTTTGACCAGCAATCATTCCTAAATTGAAAAAAAAAAAGTAAATATTTTGTATTTAAGATAAAAATCTTTTCCACCCATCAATATGCTCCATCCAGGACACCGTTAGTGGAAAAATTTTAGTTTAGAACCTTTTGCTATCCAATTATTAATCGATTAATTGAAAAAAATAATCAGCAGATTAATCGATTTGCAAAATGATTGTTAGTTGCAGCCCTAGTGCCTCATCATCATCATGTCACCTTACAGAGTCTATCCAATCAGACAACACAGACAGGCTGGTTAAGCGTTTCTAGCTAAGTAATCCCAGTAGAATGAATGTAGTTCTGTGCTCCTGTGTGAGAAAGTAGCGACACTGGACAGCCGCTTGCATTGCATAGCTGACTTTGCAGCAATTGCTCATTGCATTTAGGGACAGGGGAGAGGAAAACTCAGAACAGAATGAAACGTCCAGCAGAACCAGGCTCAGTGTGAACAGACTTCGACCAACATTGACGGGTTTGAGGAGACAGAGCAGACAGACTAACGGAGCATAAAAACACTGGTCCAAGATTACTTTCTATGTGAGGGAAAAGTAAAAGGTTTGTGGCAGTAGCGGCACCCCTATTAGCTTTATCTAGAAGATGAGCTCTGAGCCACAACTCAAGTCTGGAAGATGGAAAAAGACGACACACAGTTAGCCACAGCCAATAGTTATGACCAAAAAAGGAACAGAGTTGCCACTGAAAGACAAGACCAAGTGTTTGATCTGGACAGGAGAACTTTAAGGTTAAGGTTTTGGCTGCAGTTCTGCTGACGTCCATCTCCAGAATGTCATCAGCTGGATGAAACTATTGGGAAGAGAGGAAGAGAGATTAGATCAGAGGTATAAACTAAAAAGAGATAAAAACTAAGCATGAGAGAAAAATCTGTGGGTTTTGTGTGTGAATGCCACACAGCCATGTTGTTGTTTTACCTGGTTGTATTTGTCTGCCTCCTTAAGAATATGGCGTTTTACTAAAAGAGATGTAGTCGCCACCAGTGGCATTACTGGTGCAATAAATTAAGGATTGTTTAGGATAGATGTCTGTTTAAATATATAATATGATGAGCAGGATTCATTTTGAAGGTAAAAAGATGGGATAGTGTAAAAAAAACAAAAACAATACAGGTTACAAAACAGACTAGATGCCTTCAGACTCCATAAAACCAGTGAAGTTCAGGTGTATTTTGATTCTGACTGCTCGATGTCCCACTCAGAGTCATTCTCACTGTCTTAGTTTATTACCAGGCTCATTTGTGGATTTACATGAGTCAGTGAATGAGAATGGTTTCGCTCTGTTACTTCCATTGTCGTTGCCACATCTATGCTCAGCTCCTCCCTCCTCTCATTCCTGTGGAGCTATGGCACAGCTTACCACCCTGGGTCCTTGGATCTCCGAACCTATTGGGTATTACCTCAAATAGGGAACTACCTCACAGTTCCTACCTTCTTCCTCTTTTCCGTTCCTCATCTGCTTTCTGTGCTAAGACCTTACTAATAACTTTTCAATTCCCTTAAATTATTATAAAAAAAAAAAAAAAGATTACATACTTTGATATAGGTTTCTAAAAGAACTTTAACAGATTATGCACCTTTGGATGCATGCTTTTAAAGGATTACTATATTCGATTATACTTTCATATGGTGCTATTTCTTCTTCATAGACACCCTTGTCTCACCACTGTCTGGGTCATTCGACACCATGTTGAGTACGGGGGGAGTTGGATGTATGCTAGAGGTTTTGATCACGGGGTGTCAGTTTCAGGGAAATCCTCCTTTTTAAAGTCTCTCCTCAGCACAAAGGCTGCTCACTGGGCCATGCGTAATCGAATTATACACATGCCTCACTGGTACATGCAGAGACAGATCTGTCCCTTTAGAGTGTTCACAGTTTGTCCAAGAAGAGATGTCCTCATTAAAAGTTGTTTCCTGTTTGACGTCCTGACTGTAGCCCCCCCGCTGCCTAGCTCACCCCTTTTCTTTTTGTTCACATGGTTGGTTATTTTTGGCTCACTGTGTTTTATTTAGACATTTTCCAGATGAGCGTTATCGGATTTGTTCCACCTTCACTAACGACGGTTAAAGTGACCTGTTCTGGGGGTGTGTCATGTGTCTGTTCTGTGGAGGTGGTCACGACTGGCTTTTCTCTGTTTGTTTTGGCAGTTCAGGCCTATCTGTTTGAACATGGGAGCAATTACGTAAAAGCAATGAAGCAGTTTTATCCCAGTCAGATAAAACCAGGTAAAAACTGTCAACTAAAAGGCTCATTCAACTGAAACTGGTGCTGCTTCCAACGGAAACATGCAATACAATTAAGTGTTTGTTGCTTCTCATCCATATGAATTGAGTATAACTGCTGTTTCAGTACTTTGGCGGAATTACTGTGCATAATGCATGGCAAAGGATCCATTTACAAAACAATGACACCGTTTGAATCCAAGTAGAAGGCAAATTGAGAGAGAGAAAATGCTCCCATTCTCAGAAAGGAAATAGTATAAATACCTTTAATTTCAACTTTGGGTGAATTGCTGGTTCAAATGGAATAAAAACAACTTCTGTGATAAATGATCATTAGAAAGTGGTTTAGATTTTTACATTTTTTGCTGATTTCTAATCAAAGAAGAGTTGAAATTTGCACCAAAGGATTTAGGATGCAATGCTAAAGGTTAGCATTAATAAGGCATTTGTCAGCAAATAAAGATTTTGTTTACACAAGTTAGCCTGGGATTCTTTTTGAGTTATATCTAAATAAATGCTAGTTCAAAGACTATTAACTCTAACAACTTTCCAGAATTGCGAGTCATTGCAGTGTCGAGCTGTGGCATAGTAAATAATCAACGGACATTTACAGAAGGGGACTAGCTAAAGGATTTTTAACTTTATTTCAAATCAAAAACTTAACAAATTCGTGATTCAAATAATATCCTAACATGTAGTCAATGTTTAAAAGCTAGAAACTGTTGAAAATATACCTAAGGAGATTCGTCAACAATCAAGAGCACGGACATTGTTTGCTACAGAAAGCTTGTGGTTGAGATGAAACTCTCTCAGGGACATTTTAAATACTGGTCTTGGGAGAAAGTTGGAGAAAATAACCAGTAGATATCATGTGAGCTTGTTTTCTTTTTTTACACCAGCTTAAATTATTTATTCTAAAGAAAACATACATGAGAAAAGGGTCTTTAAGAGCCACTGTCCTGCAAATCAAACCATCTGATTCCCCAGTCAGCTACCGTTAAGGGCAGCAAAGGCCTGTTAATCAACTATATGTTTAAATCAGCAGTCTGGAGACGGGGAAACACCTAAAACATGCAAGTCATTGGCTCCTGAGGACCAGGATAGATTTTTTAATGGTGGATTAGGTGGATAGAAATAAAAGCACACTGCAGAAAATTGAAGTTTAAATAAGTCATTTTTTTTTCTTTAAATAAGTGCCTTTATTTTTGAATTGAGGTGCTGAGACACTTTGCCAATGGAAAAAGAAGATTTTCAGAAAGACAATTGCAGAAAAACAATTGCATTGTCTTATTTTAAGTGCATGTTATCTAATTTATCTTTTTTAAGAGTAAAAATACTAATTTCATAGGGAAAAAATCTTACTTACCTATTCAAAGTAATAGTAAACACACTTAATTTAATCAATTAATCAATCTCTATTGTCAACTACAATTTGCACCGTAATCGAGATTTCAGTTCCAGGAAAAAAACTGTTTAAGGACTTGCTCATTTCTAGATCGTGCAGCTGGTGGCTAATTTATCTATTTTTGCCTCATTAAGGAAGTAGAACAGTAACTATCTGGACAAAGATGGGTAACAGTTATTGTATTCTGTTGCAGGTCTAAAACCTGTGCTACAGTTTTAAAAGCTTCTGCTATAAATGGGTTTTATTTCATTTCTGCCGTGTTTTTTATTTGGCTGATTTAAAACTTAGGAGCACAACAGACAGCTTTGCACTCTCCAGTATAACGTTGTCCTTGAAAGGTAAAAGTGTATTTTGTTAAATTCACCTGCAGTTTGCATCACAATGTGATGAGTTAAGTCAGCTGCTGGTACATTTACTTTTACGCAATACATGAATATTCCTGCATATTTGGCCAACCCTGCTATACAACCATTGGAGGATAAAGTCATGAAATCTGTGAAAAAGGAGAGATATTGCTGTACTGTACCTCTGCTTATAAGCTTTGCACTAAATGCATACACTGTATAACAGTTTCCCATTCCCTCTTCATTTTTTCCATTACAGAACATCAGCCATGGCGCCTTCTCTCGTTCAGGCCTACAGGCGGCGCTGGTGGATGGCCGTAACAGCTGTGATCGAAAACCTTCTTTGTTCGGCCGTGCTGTTAGGCTGGGGCTCCCTGCTCATCATGCTGAAGAGGGAGGGCTTCTACTCTCACTTGTGCTCGGGTAAAATGAGAATAGTTTTGTCTCGCTGAAATAACTAAACTCTAACCCCTTTCCAACAACAACAAAAAAACCAACAACCAAACAACAACAACAACAATTGCTTAGGTGTCACACTTTATTCTACAGGAAACGACTCAGTGGTCGTGCATATGGGTAATGCCACTGATGGACATGCAGCAGACTGGCTGATCTGCGTGGAACAGGAGGAGATGCTGAATCTTGGATTCACCATTGGCTCCTTTCTGCTCAGTGCCACAACCCTTCCTTTAGGCATCCTAATGGACAAGTTTGGCCCCCGTCCCATTCGGCTGGCTGGCAGGTAAATCCATCCTCACTAGCCCTGAAGCACCAGTGTCTAAAGGAGAGACCTGGATTAGCTAACTGCTGAATATAGGGACCAGGGTCACTCATTTTAAGCACATAGGCTGATAAAGTTTTCAATTATTTCAACAAACAGTCAGATATGCAGATAAACATTACTTACTGTCATTATTACCTCTCCTTAATAATAATAATTTAACTTAATTGATCTCACAATGGAGAAATGTACCTCTGCATTTAACCCATCCCCTTGGGGAGCAGTGGGCTGCCATCATGGGGCACCCGGGGAGCAGTGTGGGGTTAAGGGTCTTGCTCAGAGACCCGAGTGGTGGTCTGTGGGAGTGGGGCTCAAACTCAAAACCTCAGGATTCCAAGCTCTATGCCCTAACAACGAGGTCCCCACTCCCCTCCTTACGGGCAGTATTGCACAGATGTAAAACAGGTGCAACAGAATGATTTCCTTTTCCCAATGTGGATTTATTATTCTCTCTGACTTTTTGACCTTTTTAGTCAAATGGTTTTTCACCTCCATAATCACGTTCCCACTGAAGCAGATATGAGAAAATGAGCTTGATGGACAGCATTCCTTCAAAGGAAGGAATGTAAAATGAGTCAAAATGGGTGGAGTTTTTGTTTGTACACATGGTATTCAAACTTTACTACAGTCAGTCTAAGCATTATAGCCTCTAGATGATGTTGAAATTGCCATTTGCTCTCTGAACCTCTTTAAACAGGCATGAAAAAAGATTACTGGGGTCTGGTTTGGGGGTATTTATGTCGGATTTTGGAGCAATCTGTTGAGATTGTTCTTTGAGATTTTAATGCAAGTATAGCCTTTTCACAACCATGTGAACACATGCACTCTGTTGTTTATGAAGGCTTTGTGTAAATGGTTGAAATGGTCCAAGAGCACATCATCTTTTAATGGGTGTGTGAGAAAGTCCTGCGTTGACAGGATTATTCATTAATTGCAGTAGGATTACGTCTCAATTATTAGCAGGGGATCCTTTCTTAATGTCATAGAGTATCTACATGTTTCTTTTTTGTAATGTTTACCCCTTCTCTCAATGTTTCATTGCAGTTCCTTGTTTGGTCTGTCCTGCATCATCATGGCTGCTTCTGCATACAACCCTAATGGTGAGTAAACAAAACAGGATTTCAATAGGGCTGCTTGATATTAAAAAACCTTGTGGAGACAATAATAATGGTAAAAACTGCTGTGGTGGTCTTAGATGCAATATGTGTTTTCTTATTTCCTCCTTTTTAAGAAAATTAAATTACAGTTTAAAAGTTACATTTTGCTTAAACAGGCAACTGAACATCAATCCACCAATCATATACAGTAGGCCTCTTTATTGGTAGGTAATAAAAGAACAACTGTCTTTTATAATAATGCAGAACATAATGGGTCAAAAAGTCTAATTATATCTCTTTTTTTTTTTACTTGGTAAAGCCCTAGTGGCTTATTTTATTTTTTTTTAACAGTAGGCTGACAGGAAAGGGGATATGAGAGGGGGGGGATGCAGCAAAGGACCACAGGTCGGATTCGAAACTGGGTCGGCCTCGTGAAAAAATAAGGCCTCTGTACATGGGTTGTGCACGCAAACCACTGCGCCACCTGCCAGTGTTAGGAAAGTTCTCTTTCTACGTGAACTAGTTCAAAGTTCAGTTCACACATTTTAAAATGAACTAGTTCAGTTCATAGTTCATAATTCAAAATTTTGAACTAAGTTCACAGTTCCAAAAAGTGAACTAGTTCAGTTCTTTTTTTTTTTTTTTCATATATTGCTCAATTACACCATAGCCTACTGTAGAACCACAGACAGCAATTATTTTATCAGTTGTAACACTGAAACTGTGCGTCAGATTTCATCTTCATATCCAGTTTTGAATCCTTATCCAACCAGGGTTTACATTAGCATTGAGGGGACAGCATTTCCCCATTGCTGCTTTAACGCTTTGTTGCTGTAAATTCACTTCACACTAGTAGCTGCAGCTTTCACCCCTACAGTATATTCTCAAAAACATCAGGAACATCAGGTCTTTTTTATGAGGAATTATTAAAAGAAAAACAGGAAAGTAGTATTTAAGGTGCAAATGTTTTTTTTATTATTTTAATATTTTTTTTCCATTTGAAATTTCATTTCAGTGAATACTAAAAAGGAATCCTGGAAATTTATACCAGGCAGGTTTAACAAACAAGTTACATGAATAGTAAAACCCTCAAGAACATTTTACTAACACAAACTGAGGGACCAGGCTGAGGTAGGAATTTAAGGTTACTGAAGTGCAGATTTTTTTACTGAAAGCCGGCGGGCAAAGTTTGCAGAGAAATGTAAGATTGTTGCCATCATCCTCACCGACCACCTGGTCATAAAAGTGTTTTAAGTGATCATACTGCTGCTTTTTCGCATCCACGGTCGTCTCCATGCTGCTGTGGCTTCCACGCTGAATTATGTTTTGATGACGCACGCAGCTGTAGGCTACGACACTGGTAGCTGGTGTTGCCAGATTGGGTGTTTTTCCCCGCTACATATTAAGGCCTGTTTACGGTGTGATTTAGCCGGGGTTTCGCCTGGAAGGCTCTATAGAAATCTGGCAACCTATTGAACGGAGTTGAACTGAGAGAGCGTGCGGTTCACGGACACCAGAATGAACGAGTTCACAATAACGTTCATCAGGCAGTAATACAGTACGTTCAGTTCACGTTTGCCCAAAATATGAACGAGTTCATGAACTTTCGTTCAATGAACGCGTTCAGGCACAACACTGCCACCTGCACACCCGTCTAATTATATCTTGTATTGCACTACTTCCTTAAATATAAAAATTGAACTCTCTGTTTTTTCCTGTCATCAAATCCATGATCAGAAATGCAATGTTCTATTATTAGTTCTTTTTTTTATTTTATTTTTCCTTTTTACTCTTAAATTATATATGCAATGTTACAACTCATATTACATCCTTCTTTCATCATATCAGCCTCCTGGTAATGCTGCTGTTTTTTACTCTTTTGAATATGATCACTTCTGAACTTTTTGAGTTATTTATTAAGAATAAATATAATATTTTTGTGTGTCTTATCTCTGCAGTGCTCTCAGGGCTCATCTTCTTAGCTCTCTCGCTGAATGGCTTTGGAGGCATCTGCCTGACCTTCACCTCCATCACGGTGAGATGCACAACAGCAAAAACACTGAACAAGACAACAAAAACAAAACACAGTCAGATACCAGAATATATCTGAAAGCAAATCCTTACTGTACAACACATTTTAAAAAATAGGAAAAACTATTCAGATCCCACTTCACTGCTTGCGAAATCAGAAAAGCCTTTAAGGCCAGAACAGCTTGAACATAGTTGTAATATCTAAGTATTTGAAAACAACTGTTTTTATATTTATAGTTTTTCTGGATCACAACCCAATGTGGAAAAGAATAGCAGAGGAACAGAAAGTAATGTCAGCAGGAAGGGAGAAACAGAAAGACTGGTGGGAATGTTTCTGCAGTAGTGATACCAAAAGTAAAGCCGATGAGCTAAAATGCTGAGGCCATCTTTAAAAAAATGAGTCACAAACAGCTTTTTTTGTCTTCTGAAATTAAAAAAGTTGTTTACTTTATAAGTTTCCTTAGAGCCTCCTCAAGCTGCCTAGTTATTACAGAGGGAAGCATGGAGATGGAAGTGTTATGATGGGTTCCCAGATATAGAGATTACTTCCTTTAATTGTTTAGTAAAGCCTCTGTATCTGCCAAATCACAGCCTGGTACATCCAACTAGTTGGGTATCTTTGACTCCTAATATGAATCTGGAACAATAAGTTCCCAGGTTTGATTTTGAAGTTGGCATCTTCAGCTTCCTGTTGCTTTCTGATGGTAGGTATACTATAGTCCAGTGCGAGCATTCGGGAGAATGAAAAAAGAGAGATATGAGACATAAATGTCATCTAATGATAAAACCAAAACAGAAAGATTAAAGAAAAATATTGAACAAGTTCAACCTCAACATCTGTCGACAAAAGGATTTTACAAACAACAGTGCAGAAATTTTCTCAGGAATGGTGCGATGGAGCACAGTGAAATATTAGATCTATCTTTTTTTTTTTCAAATATAAGGTTTTTGTCATTTTCATTTAGTCAGTTCATTTAAAAGATAAACGCTTGACTTGTGACCTATATCACACTTCGGTAAAGTGTCTGCACAGCCCAGAGGCCTTCACTTTTATATTCTCACACGCCTCTGGAGAAATAACAGTGAAGGCTTTCAGTAAAGCACAGCGGTGGTAGTGTAGTAATGCTGAGCTCTGTAACAATGCACATGCAGCAATGTTAACTGGATCTAAAAAACATCCTCTGTTATTTTTTTTACCTTAAAGAAAACATAACAGGATTAAAAAATACACTTAAAAAACACGAAAACAACTTAACTTTTATATTAGCCTCTTTATAACTACATCCATTTCAGTTTACTTGTAATTGTAGATTTATTAAAAAAGAACAAAAATACTAATTTTGATCCCAACTTTTGTCCTAATTAAAAATTTGTCATCTGACAAATGCTTATAAAGGGTAAATAATTCAAACAGTTATTTTGAATAACAAACATTTAGGTCGGCATAAGAGTTATATAAATTTTCTTTCTCATTGACACCAGTTGTGTAAGTTGTATTTAAGTAAAGATCTGATGCAATTCGTACCTGATAGAAATGATTGGGGGAGTTTTTGTTTTTGGCAGCTCCTCAAGTCAGCATTACTCAAGTGCTGAGCGCGCTCTGACTTGACGTGCTGTTGTTACACGCTAGCACAAGGATGGTATATGAAGAGCGATGTGTCAGCTGCTACCAACATCATTAAATGCGTTATATGTTTACAGCTGTCTCTGTTTTCCTGGCCAGTGTTTAGAGTTATTTTGTTTGTGGGTACAGAGCAGCATGTGACCTCTCATAGATGGAAAAGCAGTCATGCTTCCTTAGACCAATGACAGCCTTTATCTGCCCACACACCCTCCCTTAAAGCTCGGCCCACTTACCTCTACCTAAAATACCCAAGGGCGCTTTAAGTCATGTGTTTGCTCTGTTGTCTGACGCCCCCCCCCCCCCCCCCCCCCCGTTGTTATATTCTGTTCTGATCCATAACATGGATGCTACACATTTTGCAGATGTTCTTGACCACTTGACCAAACAGACATGATATATGCACTGTTATATTTGCACATCACCTTCACAGATGTTTGGATGGTGAAGGCTCACTCTTAAAGGGGCAGATAACGTTATTCTACAGCCTTTATTTGATGTCCGCAATGTGGTGATGTGAAAATAACAGCTGCTTCAGTTAAATAAGCAGAGTTTATACTAGAAACAGCTGACATGGCAGTTTTTCTGAAGGGAAACTCAAATACACTTTATTTTAAGCTTAGAGAGCTTGTTTTGCTTTAATTACTAACTAAAGTCGACTTAAATGGGTTAAATCAACGAAAGCAATTTCAAGTTAGTCACTTTTCAGCCTTGAGTTACAGGTGCATTAGGGGACTTTCTATCTAGCATTATATTAGACCTAGTTTATTGGTTTAAATACTTTTTAAATAACATCTATATGTGAACAGGACCAGGCTTACTGCAGCCTCTCTGGTATTAAAATATAGTTTGACTACAGCAGGAAATAAAGGTTCAGTATCTTAACAAGAAAGCACGTCAACAAATGACAGGATCAACAAAACGCTCTACTTTTCTTAAAGATTTAATACTGGAAAAAGGTTAATGTTGCCTTCTATCTCTGCACTTTGTGGTCGTACATTCAGGATATGTTGTTGTTTTTTTTTAACGTAAACTCAAACAATGGTTATGCATGTAGTCTGTCTTTTTTAGGAAAATGAAAAGATTCTTGCAGGTTGCAATCAACTTTCCATGCAGCAGCGTGTTACAACATACCCCTGTTTTTATTTTTTGTTTGTTTTTTATGTTCAAACTGCCAGTGATGTAGGAAAGCATTCGAGGAAACTTGGACATAATTATTTTGAGTTTTAGAAATGGCCTAAAATATTTTGCAAAAATCTCAAATTAGATTTAGTCAAAGCTGAATTAGGTAAAATACTTCATCATCAACTAAAAAGATGTATTTTTTCAAATCCTCATATTTCTGTATAAGGCATAACATCACATTAAAGAACAAACCCTGTCCTAGTTTGACCCCTCAGACATTTTACATGCTGATCATTCTGTTCCACCAATCACACGCACACATTTAACATCAGACCTGCAGTAATGTTAGGGTTTCCTATGGGACCGTTGGTTTTCCCTGTCTGACCTTTGGTTCAACATGTCTGAATGGATTTATCAGTGTCCTCCGAGCTGATGTCATTCTTGTCCTTCGACAGAGTAAAGGGATAATGACACTCAGATATGAACGAAAAAACAGACCAGAGAGTAGTGGGTCAAAAATAGAATCAAGAGATGTCATGCTGACTGGAGTCAAACGGAAACAGAAAAATGTAGGGATTAATAGAAGCATGTTTTTATTGTTATGTTTTTTTTTATTATTATTTTAGTGGGGATTGCTGAACAGAAAAAAATATAAAATAAACAGAAAACTGATTCATATTTGTTAAACTCATTAGCTAAAAATGCAATAATAAACAAAGTAAAAAAAAAAATGTTCACACATCTATTAAGGATAATTCATGTGGCCTTGCTACCTTGTGTGCCACACCCACTTGTGGCATTCACCTTTTCCAGGAACGCATAGCTGACTGGCAGCAAGTTTCTTCCTTTGTTTAGTCCAATGTTCCAGCCAGGAACATGTAAAAATAGTCCTGCTTGTTAGATATACCTTTCATCACTGATTAGAAGCTGCCTCCATCACATCAGCCCCCCCCGCCCCCCTTTTAAAGTCCTCAAAAGCTAAAGTTGCTGCTGGATCTCTGCAGGGAGCTACGACTGGCTGAGACAGTGTTACTCTGGGTCAAAATTTAGGGAAACTTCCAAAGCTTTGATCCACATCTAAACATTTATTTAAGTCCAGTGCAGCTGGTTGTGACAGTTTGGCCAATCTGTGAAGGGTTACTGAGGGCGTAAAGGGGTGGGGGGGGATTATGGTGGTGGTACCACTCAGCGGTGGTTTAGTGTTTCCTGCTGAGAAGGTGCAGCTGTGGTTGAGTGAGGAATCAGTCAATCCTAAAGAAATCTTACTCCCACTAACTTTTCACCTTTTTATATAACCTCTACCCCTGTTCTCCGACTGTTGCACCATCTCCTGCCAAATTCTCTGCATGTAATCTACTGTTCTTCCGCCTGGTTGGAGCTGAAATATATCCTTGAACTCATTAGTCTTTCATTTGGCGCATTCTGGGTGATTAAAGTCCTAATTACAGCTGGTGTTGGCTGCCAAGACCTTGCAGAGCCCAGCTGAGCGAGCACAGCCAGAGGAGAGCCTGAACCGATCGGTGGTGACAAACGAGTGACCCAATAACCCGTGTTAACCATTGCCTTGTTCCATTCAGTAACCTGTTAGCAATGGATTCTGTTAGGAAACATTTATGTGCAACGCTGGTAGAGAACTACCCAAAAGACTTGGAGCTTCAGCTGCAGGGAAAGACGTTTCTACTGATAAAAAAGCAGAAAAGTGGAACAGCAGCCCATTTCTGTGAATGGGAGGCCAAGGGTGTCGCTAATATTGCTTTAACTTTCTTGTGAGATAGAAACTCCTCTGTTTGTCTCTTTCTCATACATTCCTTGATGCTCTGTGGTCAGAAGAGTCCAGCTCCACACATCTAACAGCCCCTCGATTCTCAGAAATCCTAAATGATGAAGAGTGTTCTTCAAGAGGTTTTTTCCCCTTCCTCAGACAGTCAGGCTCACTGCCCCCCCCCCCCACTTTTTTTTTTCACTTTTCCTGGCGACCTCCGGCTCCCTTGGTGCAGCACAGACACACATTACAGCGCGCCGGCCGTTAACTGTCACTATGTTGCGATCTCAATGCAGCTTTTACACAGACATGGAAAATCAAACGTCAACGTTCACAGAAACACATGCTTGACGCCCTCGTACAGAAGCTCCAAAGAAAGCTTGAGAAATTTCGACTCTGAGGTTCCTGGAAGTCTTTTCCTGGAAGGCTCAGCTTCCTGCCTAAAAGTGGGGACCTGGAATAAACATGGACAGGGTTTTTCTTCTGCAGACTTTCTACTCTGTTCACTAAATCAAAGGGTCTTATGTAGGGCTGAAACAATTAATCGGATTAATCAATTATTGAAATAATCGTAAACTGATTTAGTGTAGAGACTCTAAAACATCCCTTTAGCTGACGGAGCGACCCACTTAAAGTAGTAATTATACTAAGATTGTAAAAAATATATGTATATGTAAACATTTTGCATTTAAGATAAACATTTTGGTCTGTCAGTATGCTCTCCCTAGTTTTAGCTTCACCTGGTTTAATTTAGCGAAAAGTAATCTTTTAAGGAAGCTTTTGCTATCTGATCATTATTCGATTAATCAAAAAAAAAAAATCCACTGTTTAATCGATTTGCAATATAATCAGTAGTTGCAGCCCTAGTCTTATGTTCTTATACTTGCAGAAGCATCAGCAAGTATTGATATATATCTAAAAAAAAAGCAAACAATATTTTATTTATTTTGTCTTTTGTTTATCTACCTCCCCTGTATATGTAGCTCCCTCTTTTGAGTTCTGCTAGCTTCCCAGCAAAATGATGCTGCCAGCATCATGCTTCACTGTAGAAAATTGGTGGGGTTTTTTCTGGTAGCATAAAATTCTTCCACATGTTTTCTGTGTATCACACCAGGCAAAGTGCAGGTAGGACTCCTTGTTGCATCCTTTCAAAGACAGCCTTTTTCTTGCTGTTCTCCATAAAGACCGGTGTTGAGCGCATAATAATCGTCCTGTCAACAGATTTATCTCACCTGGGAAATGGATCTCTGCAGCTCCTCCTATGTCTCTTGAATTCTCTGATGAATTAAATTTAGCTCTCTTGCTTTTTTAAAAATTTATATCACATTTCATTTTCAAGTAATAGATCAAACATTGCCCCACTGATCATTCAATGCTTTGGATGTTATTACCTCCGCCAAGGAGGTTATGTTTTAGGAGAGTCTGGGTGTGTATCAAACAGGATATTTTCCTCCCTCTGCAAGGCTAAATTGGCAGAATTTATTTTCTTTAGATGAGATAAGCTGCTTTGTATATACTAACTGTGGGTCATAGAGGATTATATGGGTTCAAGCTACAACGGAAATCTGAATTATCAGAATAATTTTTCTTGGACTGTATTATATCAGCTTAAAAGTGCAACTCCAATCTAAAGTTCTGGTATTTTATATAGCATTGCTTCATAGCAGCTGGCTGTGTATTAAAAAAGCATGACTGCAGGTAGCTTTAAGTTAATGCACCTGTTGCTCTGGCCTCTTTTCTCCCCCAAATAAAGGCTGCGGTATGACTTCAGCTCTAAACTTATCAATGTCTCATGGATGTGTTACAGTGAGATCAGGGTGCAGCAACAACGGGTCACTGACATGGCTCTGTGAACTCTGACCCAGCCGAGGGATTAGGTGACAGCGGCAGAAGGTTGGTCCGTTTGCTTAGGGAAAATAGTGAGTCCGTCATGGAGAACAAGTGCAATCCCTCACATGTGATTTTATAATAATGACTGACCCATTTAAACCTGCAATCAAAGGACACTTAGTGTGGTGCCAGCACAATGGATTGTTATATGTTCTAATCTTCTTACTGCTGTTAATCAGCCGGCCTCATATATGGTTTGTTGGTGCCTGCCACCATGTAGGGTTTGCAAAGTTCCAAGCAGCCGTGTACATTGATTCGAAACTACTATGAAAGGTCATCAGGATTTTAATCTCAAATCTTTCAAACAGGAACATGAAAAAGCTAGAATTTGTGTGGAAGCTTTGTTCATCCCTGAAACTAGAAAGTAATGTTTTTAATCCGTCTGCAGACTGAGGGAACTTTATGTTCAGAATGTTTGGGGAGCATTTAATGGAAGTTTTCTCCCATCCTGATTCCTAAAACTGAAATAAAGTGGGCTCTGCCCCCTGGTGGTGAAGCTTATGCACTGCAAGGTGGTAAATCAACACCTTAAATAAAGGGAAGATTAAAAGTATAATGATAATAATAGTAAATGTTTTTTTTGTGTGTTTTGTGTGTGTTTACAGCTTCCCAACATGTTTGGTTCTCTGAGCTCCACCATCATGTCACTGATGATTGGCTCCTACGCTTCCTCTGCTGTCACCTTCCCCGGCGTCAAGGTAAAGTTTAAATGTTAACCAGTGAGTGCAGCTTTGAGTTTCTGCAGCTGAAGCTCATACCTGCTGGTCAACAGAGGCCTTTCTGTGTGAATGCTCTCCGAGCGCCTGCCTGAGTGAGCTTTTTTTCCCCTCTGTGTTATGCCTTCCTGCTGCAGTCCTGAGTAGGTAGGTTGAAAGTAAACTTGTGGCTGTATGTGCGTCCGTGCATTAGTCCTGAGCAAAAGATTTTGTCAGTGTTCCTATATACAATCTGGAAATGTTCGGAAAAGTGTGAGATTTTATATATATATATATATATATATATACAAACATTCTACTATTCAATTTTCTGTCTTTCTTTTCACCCACCATTGTCGTCAGTTCTTTTTGTCGCCTTTCTTTTTGTCCTTGTTGTCTTTCTTTCATCTTTTCTAACTTCCTAATGTCCCTACTGTAGAAAACAATACCATGTATAGGGTGTGAATTTAAGTATTTTGTATTTTACTGTAAAGACAGAGGATTTAAGGTTGAGTCTTTTTATGTGTGAACTTTTTAAATGAAAGAAATTCTGTTCAACTGCCTCTGATTTCTTTATAACGTTATTTTAATGAGACAATATTTTTTCTTAAGACCAACACACCGATTAGTGTGTATTCGTCTTAATGTGGTCTGGATGGTTTTTGATGATCTTTGAGTTTCAAATTCTATTCAAAACAGTCTTTTATTTTATTTTAGAATATTGATAAAGATTAGATTAGGAGATTATAATGTGTCTCTTTGGATGTATCAGTTCAGTTCAGTCTGCACATGCTATTTAAGTCAATAAGCCTTTAAAGTTTACATCCATCCTTTCTCCTCTTTACAGCTGATCTATGATGAAGGCGTAGATTTCCATATAATCATGTGGATGTGGGCGGGACTTGCCGGCCTTGTGTTTTTTAACTGCTTTTTTAACTGGCCCTCAGAGGGTTTCCCAACCCCAGATGAGGTCGACTACAGGTCAGTGTAACATGCACCTGCCTGCTGAATGGATTATCTGTGATTTTAGTAAAAAAGAAAAGCTGCATTTAAAATGTAACACTCTTATTTTATCTAACGTTTTTACTCAACAGTAAGATCCTGTCAATGCCAGAGGTTCCTTCATCTGAGCAAACAGCTGTAGGGGAGAGACTGAGCCAGAAAAATGGAGATATTCAACACTCCAAAGAGAAGCTTCCAAATGGACCCGATGCTGCAACAAGTGAGTTAGAGTGGGGGTACTGAAAGTAGGGGCCGGGACCCCACAATGGGGTCACCAAATGAATCATAATATAAGAAGATTACTTTTTATCTAAAATTTTCATGTTATTGAAAAATGATTGTATTTATTTTTTGTCAGCAATTGTACCATCATCAATGTAATGTAAATTACATCCCAATATATGTCAATATATGTAAAATCCGGCTTAGTGATCTGTAATCACTAAGACGATCATAGACTGGATCCAAGTCAGTAACTCTTAAAGAAGACCTTTTTTTTTTTTTGGCTTAAACTGAATAATTTATATTAAAAATTAAATAGCTTCTAATTTTTCTGTTTAATTTTGGATGAACCTTTTAAACAACAGAAATTGGTTAAGTTAAATATTTTGCTTATAATGTTATTAATGTATAACATTCTAAGAAGTATTACTTTTTGTTGTGTTGTAGAACTCGGTGCAGTTTGTAGTACAGAACCAATACCAACATTTTTCTTTTTAATATGACTCATGGATAGTTAAGCTGATATACATTACACTCTCTGCAAATTCTGAAACCCGTGGTTCATTATCAGCACTGCTCTGTCTTTACACCATCCCTAAAGCTAAAAAAGAATCCCCTCTCCTCTCTTAGACACTGTTCCTTTCCGACGCTCCGTCTTCTCCCCCATCTTCCTCTGGAGCTTGATCACCATGGGGATGACTCAGCTGAGGATCATCTTCTTCATGGGAGCAATGAATAAGATGCTGGAGTTCATGGTCACCCGTGGGGGACAACACCGTTAGTGTCCAAGCCCTATCAGACACTTTCTTTACTACTGTTTAGATCCTGTTTTAAATATTGTTATTCTTTTTATTTTAGCACCTGATAATGTTGTACGCGAGGCAGAAGAAACTGGTGAGCTTTGTTAGATTATGGCCGGAAAACTTTCGGAATGCACCTGAGTTTCCTTCTCACTCCTATGTTTTCTTGTTAATCTTTCAGTGAGTTTCTACTCATCCATCTTCGGCACGCTGCAGCTGCTGTGCCTGGTGACGTGTCCTCTGATTGGTTATATCATGGACTGGAAGATGAAGGAGTGTCAGGAGGAGACGTGTCCCTTGACAGGCATAGTCCAGAGGTACTTCCAGTATAACAGATTACAGACCGCTCTGTATGCTCATTTCCTATCATGAGCGTAATGCAGGTTAAAGAAAACACCTCCTGTGTCTCCATTAGCCCCAGAAGAGACCGTAAGATCCAGAAGGTAACCAACGCCATGAGAGCGTTCACCTTCACAAACCTCCTGCTGATCTTCTTTGGAATCTGTAACCTCATAGATAACCTGCCCTTACAGGTAACGTACTGCATCACACACTAACATTGAAACATCATTAGAATGGATGCTTCTAACCTTTCTATTTCCTGTCTTAGATCTTAACGTTCATCCTCCACACTATGGTCCGAGGATTCATCCACTCCTGTTGCGGCGGCCTCTATGCTGCAGTGTAAGACCCACATGTCCTTGGGCATGGAAAGTTTGACAGGATTCCTATCTAAACCACAGTGGCATATTTGATCTTTGTTCAGTAAAAGTCACAGCAGTATTAACCATGCAGTATTTAAGTCCAAGCAGACCCTTTTCTGACTCATTTGGAGTTATTTTCTAACACCAAATAAACACCAGAGTAAAATAGAGCTTTACAATGTGATAAAAGCAACCAGATGTGGCAGGAAAACCAGAGCAAGTCAAAATTCCTACAGCAAGATGACGTGCGTAGCAGATATGTGTAAAAGAGGCTGTCACTGGTTGCAACTACCATCTTTTAATATTAGTTTTGCATCAAGACGAAAGAGTTGATATAAAAACATAATCAGCTCATCGACTTTCCATTCATGTTATTATCCTGATGATTTTGGAGCTTATGGCAACATTATGAAGCGTCTAAACTATGGTATTGTTCTTCAACAGCTATCCCTCCAACCACTTTGGAACACTGACAGGCCTCCAGTCTATGATCAGCGCCGTGGTGGCTCTGCTACAGCAGCCGCTCTTCATCGTCATGGTCACGCATCTACATGGGAACGCTTACTCGGTGAGGAAATGCTCCATTACTTGCCAAGCATGCACACTTATCTCACAGGATTACACGTAAAGAACAAAAAAAAAAACGCTAATTAACAAGCCTTTTCTTATTATTTCTGAAATATTAATGAAGCTCACATTTTTTAAGCCTAATCAGCTGAGTGAAAGCAACATTTTACAGCAGCTTCTGATAACTTCACATTTTCCTGATCATAAGAACATTGAAATAAAGCTTTTTTTGTTTGTTTTTGTTATTTATTTTCTACACCATAAATAAAACAATCCTTAGATGGTGAAATGCTGCATTGAATTTCCAAATTATTATGAGTCAATATTATTTAAGGATGCAGTAATTTGAACGAACAAAATGTAAAAAAAAAAATTAAATAATATCAACATAATATTAACTGGAAATTAGAGATCTGCTCTCCAACGCACCCTACATCCATAGACAGCATGTCTTTAAGCTCTGCAGAGGCCCAGTAATTAGCCATTGAATTCATTAAGGTGTTGGACCAGGAAAACATCAAAAAGTTGGGGAATCCCAACAATAAATGGTTGTTTAACACCCCTATATCAAGGCAAAAGTGTTAGATGCGTCTCTGGCTCTACACAACCAAATCAAATTGCTAAAACGGCTCCTTAGGATCTAGTTAAACTCAAAAGAGCTTTGCCAAATATCTAATTGTTTAGGTCAGGTGTTGAAGCAGAGAAACTTCTGGACTCTGCACGACACCAGCTCTCAGTGTGTCAGCCATTTCCCTCCTTTGGATCTAGCAGATCTTTGCATTTGTTTGCACTAATTTTCTAAAGTAGAAGATAAAAATCAGAAGATGTTACAATTAGTGGAAGGGGGTGTTTCCTCAAAGGCTTGCTGTATAGGGGGAAGGAGCTGAAAATGATGACATTTACGGTCCCTTTATCCAGCCGTACGGTATGACTGCTTTGGAAAGAGAATTAGACTCTCTGTAAGTTTTTTAATGGATGGTTGTTTGCTCTCAGTTCAGGTTCATTCATGCTGAGCCTGCCAAGTAATATAAGAGAAAAGAATCAATTAACATCAAAAACTTGAATAAAACTTTCTTTCTGAATAAAATATCCTGTTTTGTTCATCATTGTCCAAGTTGTACAAGCATATCCAGTTTCCTCATCCAAATTCGAACAGCTCTGCTCCTGTCTATCTGCTAGACCTCATTTCACTAAAGTGACAGAAAAAGAAGCCTGACCTATAATATTGCACTTTCTGGGATGTTCAAAAACATTTTAACATACAGATGCGATAATCCTATAAGATATTGTTAGTTATTACTTATTGACAGAGATGGGAAGTAACGAAGTACAAATACTTCGTTACTGTACTCAAGTAGATTTTTCTGATATTTTTTCTTTACTTTACTACTTATTTATATGGCGACTTTTTACTTCTACTCCTTACATTTTTACACAAATATCTGTACTTTCTACTCCTTACATTTTAAAAAATTGGCTCATTACTTTAGTTTTGAATTATTTCAAGGGAGTTACCGTTATTATTTTTCATGTCATCAATACCAAATTCAATCTAATTGGTTGGGAATTTACGTTGCATTTGACGCACCACTACAAGATGAATCGACAGATTCGGCGTATTCATTCGCGGCAAATCATTGCAGCTTGGTGGCGGTGGCGTTAGCATAGTAGTATGGACGACGAGATGATTGAAAATGAACACAACGGAGATCTAGTCCTATTGGCAGACATCCATTTAAAATGTAGACAACTGCAGGAAAAAAGTGGTTTCTACTTTTACTTTTATACTTTAAGTAAATTTACAAGCCTGTACTTTGTTACTTTTACTTGAGTAAAGAAGTTTAATCAGTACTTCCACTTTTACCAGAGTATTTTTTAACACAAGTATCTGTACTTTTACTCAAGTACGGAAAGTGAGTACTTTTGCCATCTCTGCTTATTGATGATCATTTCTGATGGCGATAATTGAAAAAGATACATGCAAGCATTCCAGGTTGTTTTGCTGATTGTAATTATGCACATTTTATAAAGATTCAGATTTCCCATAAATATTACTACAGCTCTCTATTTCAGATGCCTGGTTTTGCTATCAGCTTAGTCTGTCCTCCTTCTGTGTTTCAGATCAACTTGGGCCTGCTCATCGTCTCGTTCACTGGCTTCTTGCTGCCAGGTTATCTATTTTTCCACCGCAGGAACCTGCTGAGGGAATATAAGGCTAGAGTTGGCCAACCTGCCACTCAGGAGATGCAGGCTCTCAAGGCCAGCGAAACAAACGGTTTCAAGCCGCACACCAACGGCAGCGCTGCAACAGAGGCTTAGACCATTGGGGGCCAAATCCAGTCTTCGAAGGCCCGGCGTGCTGCAACTTTTAGATGCTTCTCTGCTTAAGTACACCTGACTACAAGATGAGCTCATCATCAGAGCTATATATAAATCAGTGGTTTAGAAAATTCATTCAGGTGTGTAGGGCAATGGGGTACATCTAAAACAGGCAGGACAGCAGCACTCCAGGATTTGAGTTGAAGACTGCTGGCCGGGGCATTAGCAGGACTGTAAATAGGGGGATATGTTTCAGTATTGGGATTCAGAATGATCACCAGAGGACTGTTTCTCAAAAGCAGAATTAAGAAATGCAAGACAATATATATAAAGCCAGAGGGAGCAGCACATCCTGGTTTTATCTGCTTCACAAATGCCAAGCCAGGTGCAACAATACTGGGTCTGTTAAGCCAGGTTTAAGTTAAATACATGTACAACTGCAGCTTTCTTTAAAAAAAAAAAAAAAAGAAACATGATGTTGATCACAGATTAATTGATGCAGCAAACTGATCCACCAGTCGCTCTGCTGAGTAGAGGATTAAACCTTTAAATGTATTGGGAGGACAAGGGATCTAATCCCAGCTACACCAAGAAGGAAATCTGGCAACAAAAAAAACTATCAGGCAGCAGAAAAATATTTTTTTTTGTTACAAATCCTATCAGTTCAGTGTTCATACAGAACCAATATGACTGGACCAAATAGGACCTGACAGTAGGTCAAGATTTAATATAAAATCTATTTGCATCTGGATAAACTAATAACTTAGAAGGTTCCCACACACATATTTGATCCTCTTAATTTATTTTATGTGTTAAAAAAGGGCTTATGTGTCTGGAGCAGGGTGTGGTCCGCCATCCTTGTGATTCACAGCAGCAGAAAGGTTGGCCCTTTAGTTTGAACAAAGGAAGGACTGTTTTAGAAGAGAGAGACAGGTTCTGGAGTCCTGGACTGAATCAGCCCAGCTCCATGTTGCTGTAAATGCAGTCGGCATCGCTGAAGCTGCTAGATGTGTTCAGGTAGTTTGATGCACCGAATCAATTTGTATAGTTGAAAGGAGGCATAACCATACAGTACCTGAATGTTGGGATTTTCTGTTCACATTATTGCACATTATGGCATTATATCTTAATGTGTGCACAGTCCCGCACCATATCAAAAAGTAAAAAGCAGCAGTCTGCCTTTTCTTAAGTTTATTTTATGATGTGTTGCCTAACTCATGTTACCTTTTAAATGTTGAAGAATCCCACATTGAGGCAGTTCATACTTCTCTGGAGGAAGCATAGATGTGATTCTATCCTCTAATGCCAAATAGTAGTAGATGACTACGGTAAATAGTATTTATTAGTGGTTCTTTAATGTAAGCTGGTTAAAAAAAAAACCTAACACACCAGGATTAACTAAGCTCGGCTGTTAGCCCGGTCTGAAGCAGGCTATCTGTAGATTAAATCACCATGGTAACATATGTGTTGCTGCTTTTGCGAAACTGAATCGAGGTGTAATTAAGCCAGGGAATCTTGGTTTTGTGAAACAGCCCTCAGCTTTCTTCTCATTCACAAAAGTGTTTTTAGTGTTTTGTTTTCATAATAATTTGTTGTTGTTTTTTTCTGTTAGTTATCTCTGGTTCTCTGTCCCAAACCGCATCACAAAGCTTTTTTGTTCAGTCAGACTTTTTTTAATGTGGAGAAATGTGTCATCAGCTTTTGTTGCTGTTTTATTTATTTTGATTTAGATCCTTCAGTAAAATCAGTCTGTTTTAAAACCTAAACCTTAAGATCAAGGGGGGCAAAGGTCAAACTGTGGACATCATCTTACTTGAAGTGCTCTCCTGACAATCAGTACTAACCCGCTGACACCAAAGAAAAAATTTGAGGTTTCTAGCACAGTTACAAGAGCTTATCAATTTTTAAATATGTATATTAAGATGTGCTTTTTCTACTGTATTACCAAAGAATACATGGAATGTGATCAATTCATGATTTTTTTTAGACCAGTAGTTCCAAACCGGAGTCCGCAAGTACTTCTGCGCTGAATATTTCAGAGGTGTCAAACCCAAGTCATGCAAATTGTAGATATGTCCCTGGTACCGTCCTCAGCTTGCAGTCAAGCTAACAGCTAAAATTTGGAGGACACGGGCCCTGGAGGACTTTAGTTTGACACATGTTTTTAAATGCATTTCTGCTTCAGCACCATAAAGGATAGATTAAAGACATGCATGAAAGGGGTAACCTGACAACAGCCAGATGCATGTCTCGCTCGGAGCGAGACATGCATCTGGCTGTTGTCAGGTTATGAAAGGGGGCCCTGATATAGAAAATGCGCCGATTAAACTAGCAGACTCATGATGCATATGAAGAAGATTTGGAGTATTCGCCTATATCTGAGCCCATCTGTAAGTTTTTACACAGAAATGGTTGGATGTTGAGATATTACATCTACCTCCATTTTTCTTGCCCCAGCTTGATCAACAGAAAATCTTTACTTCTATAACTTTCCATTATTTATATATATATATCATTTGTAAAACCTAATTTTTAACTTTGGCAACACACATTTTATTAAGAATACTGAAACCCAAACATTTCTGTAATTTTATATAAATACATAAAGGAATAATTCTGTATAGGAAAATGTGACTGACGGGTGATTGTTACAGTGTCTGAATAATTTTAAAAGTTTTCATTTTTCGCTTTCTGCACATAAATGAACTAGTTTGTGTATAAAATGCGGATACCAGAGTATATTTTATACTTTAGCTTCAGTAGCATTAAGAAGGGAATAATATGTAGATGGCTTGTTATAAAAAGCTTGGATGATTTAATGTGTATTCAGCTTTTATTTTATTGGTCTTGTATTGACTTAGCAAGCAAATGTAAATAGAACTGAGGTGCGATTTGTTACTTTTTTCTAACATTTTCAGCTTGTTTTACAGTATGTGGGTGTGTACAGTATGATAACTTAAGGTTTTAGAGATGCTGGCGGTGCTTTTTCTCCCTGATGTGATTTCACATCTGATTTTCAAATAAAAAGTTTTAGATTGTGTTGTGTGTCAGCCAGCAGGAGAAAAGAAATCTTAAATGAAAACAAAATCTTTGTATTACATAAAAACTGTTTGAAATCAATTGAAAGGTAATTTTTTTGATGCATGTCTGCTTTTTTTTTTTTTTTTCTATAGAAAGTTTTCGATATTGTGCTTTTTTTCCTGTTACCTTCATGGCAGAAGAGGTTTAAGCAACAATAATGCCTCTACCAAATAGGTTCCTCTATGAACCAAAGCCATCTTTCATAAATGTACAGTTTCAACAATAACAGCAACGGACCTCATGACAACAAACTGAAACTTCAATTTTATTCATGAATTCTGATGTAAGCAGAACTTTGTGGCTACATGTGACCTATATGCAGAAACATCTCAGCTTTAAAGATTTGCCTCTACAGTTTGTCCATCTGTATCACTAAGGTTCAGGTTGTAATTTCTTCACACAACTAAGTTGAATTACCAAAAATGTGCTTTATTTGATATATGTCAAATTCCAAATGTGTTGTATATGTCTTTGAATAATAAAGATCCAGACTTGTAATGAAACAAACTTGATAATCAAATTTTATTTGAGTTTGGCATTATGGTCAAAAGAAAAACAAATGAAAGTAATACACAAACAATGGCTGCTCAGTTCATTCACACAGCTTGTTTTTTTACACTTAACTGTAACATCTTAGCATTTTAATCCATCCCATCTGTTTACTCATTGCACACACACACACCCACACAATACAGCCATTCATCTCATTAAGCATACTTTTTTTATAATACATAACCTGTAAAACACACACTTACAAAAATCACACATTCAAACAGACGCACACAGGGGGCCTCCGTTTATCTGAGGCTGTTGCTGCTGGGTTGGGATCCAGCGAGGCCGGGGTGGTCTGGACTGTGGCGGTTCTGGATTAGAGGAAAAAATCAAGTCTGGTTTATGTATTAACACAACAGGTTTATATTTTGAATCTATATTCAGATTAGGGCACGATTCACACAACAGATAAAATAAAAACATGTCTGAAATTGGTTTGCCTATAATCATGCAAATGCTGAATAATCAAAAACTAAAATATTAATAAAAATAGCATCCTCAAAGTCAATTTAACATGTTAATAGAAACATTTGTTAAGATAAGCTGGTTAAACTACTTCACAATGTAATTATTTCATGGTGGCATGCTTTAATAAATCATGATTTTATTTTACTGGTTGGCCTTAGCATGAAGAGAGTGGGGCTTTGAATTTAGCAACCAAGACTTCATCGTTTATGGAGTCCCAGGAACTACAATACATTTAATCTTTTAATTAACTCTGGGTTTAACCTTGAATAAATTAAAAAACTTGATCATTGAATTTCACAATAAAGTGAAACATTTATCATTATCATGTTTAACTATTTATATTGGAAATTTAGAAATGGAGAATTTAAAGCAAATTATAAACAACAGAAGACTATAAATATAAAGCCGGTGCTACAAAAAAGCTGTTGATATGTGTAAAATCCCTTGATCAAATTGAAATGTGATTGGCTTAAAATGAAAAATAATGTTCTGCAAGGACAGTTTGTAAGGCTCGAAAATCAAATTATACGATTGTAATATCTGTGAACGTGCATCACTTTTTATTCAGAGTAGAAGCTCTCAGAATAATTTTTGTACTTATGCCTACACCAGAAAAAAAATAATGGAGGAAATGAACATCCCTCTGCATTCTGCCCTGAACCGTTCTAAAAATAAATGTGTAGTTTACTTTGGTATGATAAACAAGAGGTTGAAAATCGAGTGGCCAAAAAAAACAAAAAAATAACAAAGAGGGATGGAAAGAAATGGCCAAAGTGAAATCTGTTTGGTGAGTTAATACTACTAGGATTTATTACATAGGAAAATATATTAATGATTTTCTTCTAAAAGACGCTGGAATAGGGCTGGGCGATAATTCAATAACGATATATATCGATCGATAGACGTGTGGCGCAATAGAAAAAAAGAGGGTCGATAAAAGTTCGATAAAAAAGAAACGCAGTTTTCCTTCCTTCTCATTGTAGCCTAGCATGTAGGTTTATGCTAGTCACTGCTTCCTCCCAACCAATCACAATTGCGGACCCAGGCACGACGTCACCAAGCGCCGCCCTCTCAAACCTCAACACAGAGCACATGAAGCTGTGCAGCAAGGAGAGGCGGAGGAAATTGTTTCAAAGAAAGGTTTTTGTAGTTCGCCAGTCTGGCAGTATTTCGGTCATGGCAAGTCGGACCAAAAACAAACCACAGTCATCTAGAAAATGTGTTGGGAACCAGTGAAAACCAGTCTGATAACGAAACCAACTTTTTTTTATCATCTCAGCCGCTCACAGCCGCAGGAGTACAAGCTGTGTAGGCCCCGACGCAGCTCTCCTCCGAGGAATCTTCGGAAAATATATATATATTTTCAGTTCTGGGCAGTTTCCCACGTAGTTCTAACAATTGAGATAACAATGCTGAGGGGCCAGAAACTTCAAAGTAATAACTCAGGTTAAAGCAGGAAACGGGGGCGGCGGCGGCGGTGGGGGGGCATTTATTTATTTGTTATATTTATTTCTGGTCACTTAAGTTTATTCTTTGTCAGTATTTAATAACATAACTCAGGTCTCTTAAGTTATTTTTCTTTAAAACAATTCTGTTATGGTTAAAAAAGTTGGTTAAATAAAGATTTAATTCGAAGTCGAAGTGTTTTTTATTAAAATTCAATCATTTAGCAATATTATAAAAAGTCCAGGCAGAGCTGCACATAAAATACGGTATGGTTTCAAATCTTTTCAATAATTATCGATATCGATCAATATGCATTTTTTTTTAATCGATAACCTTTTTTTCTATATCGCCCAGCCCTACGCTGGAATAAAATATTTTTTAGGAGAGGTACTGTACAACAGTTTAAAATAAAAAAAGAAACATTTATTTATATGCAATTGTCTCTTAGGTACCAAAAAAGTACCAAAGTAAGTACAAAAAAGTGCTGGATGTGCTTTTCTCTGTTTGTCTTGTTTAATTTGCTCTCAATCAGGAAAGAATAAGACATAAATAAAAATAATTAAAAAAAAAGTACAGCTGGCATAAAATTGTCACTCACAACATGAACGCCTTCAGAACTACTTCTATATTTATCCGACAGGAAAGGAAAACAGTAAGAAAACAATAATTACCCCATTTAGATTTAATTTTAAATGCTAGAAAGTTCCAAATAAATTAAATTGCAGTCTGTCTGACAGAGGTTAGGCTAACACTAACTAAAGGGAGAAAAGAAATTCTCAAATACTTTCAGCCACTTTTAGATCAACAATAATAAAAGTTACTGCTATGCCCAAAGTGTAGTAATGAGGCCTTTAATTCTGTAGGCTGACAACGTTTACTGAATGTTTAAAGCCCAATATGAGGTTATAAAAAAAGTATTCATTTTATACATAGAGAAAAAGAAAATCACCATGTTGGTATTAAAAGATTATTCTCACCTTCTTCTTTTTCTTGTCTTTCTTCTTTTTCTTTCGATCCGGATCATCATCCCTCTTTTTCTTCTTCTTCTTGGGATCAGAGTCTGAGGGAGTTTCTGAAACATTGAAGAAGCAGCTCGGTAAGTGTTCTGCAGACCAGTCACACTCATTCTAATTTAAACTTTTCATTTGTCATACCTTGAGGTAAAGGGTCCTGTGGTCTGTGGTGCTTGTGTTTGTGTTTGCTTTTCTTCTTTGGAGGCTGTATGTGCATCAGTCTGTACTGTTCTGGGAGCTGGGAAAATGTGCTTGGATTAGTTTACAATGCATAATAATGTTAACTGATCTGTTAAAGATGCTAGCAGAAGGAACAGAATACTGAAATATTACCGGTCCTGTGTGTAGTCTGAAGCCTGTGAGCGAAGCACCAGTCAGCGGGCTGAAGGAGTTCCCACACACTGGAGGCTTATCTATCAGGGAGCGTAACGAGCTGCCGTCCTGAGTACCCGGACAGTCAATCATACCTGCAACAAACAAGACAAATAACTGTCGAAACTCTGGGGTCCATTTTTGGTCAGTGACAAGAAACTGCTAAGAGTAAAATATACATTATTTTAAGCAATTAAGTTCTTTATCTAGAGATTACTTAACAGTAATTCAGCGATTTAGTGTGAGCTGCCTTATCAATACTTCTGCAGCACGGGTCAGAGCAGCCTAAGCTGGATAAGTGTGGCTGCAGGTATGCTTTCAGAAAATATATGTAATTGCTATGTCCATTTACATGAAATGGATGGAGTCTCTGTGACAAAACTGGGTTTATTTCTGTATTTGTGGCACAAATTTACTCAATAATTCTCAATCAACCACTTCAAGTTTTTTTAATTTTTATGTTCAGTAAGAGCAAAAAAAAAAAACCCTACAAAGAGCATTGAGTTTAAGGCTGTCCCAATGTTGGGGTGTGCAATCTAAGTGGAATGTAGTAGGCTTTTATATTCCAAGAGTTTGTCCTGTGCACTGCAATAATAATTGGTCTATTAGATCGGATCTGTTTAGGCAACAGTAGCTAAATTATAAAGCTGACTGATAATTAACAATACAGCCATAGTGACCATCTTTATACTATGTATCCCTAGCTCAAATAACATCCAAATCAAATATCAACAGTTTGTTAATTTCACATAAAAACAAAATGCTTATTATTTCAGAAACTTTTCCTGTGTGTCTCCACAAGAGCGCCAGACCTGTTGGTGGTGTTGTAACATATGAAACATTGAGGGAAATTACAAGCGAAATGGACATCCACAAAACACTGTGTGGCACCACTGTTTTTATTTTTTGACTGAGGTGGGGTTCCATGGAGGTACCGTGCAAACAGTGAAAATAGTTTCACTTTGAGACATGATATTTTAGAAATTTTAGTTTACAGACCTCCAACAGATTGACTTTTTGTGGATCATAGATCAATCCAATCCACTTTTAATTATATAGAACTTTAAAAAACAACAGGAACAAAGTGTTGCAAAAAAAAAAGCAGAATTACCATAGGATTAATCAAAAATATATATAAATAAATAAGTAAAAACAATATAGAAAATAAAAGAGAAAACATTTAAATCAACCAACACCCATGTACTTTTGGGCATTGAATGCCAGGAAATATGAGACTGCAATAGTCAAAGAGGGAGTCTGCCTGCCTGATCAGGTTGATCAAGGAGAACAAAGCAGTACATCAGGATATAGGAGATCAGAGATATATGGTGGGGCAAGGCCACTTAAAGACTTATAACAAAATAAAAGAATTTCAAAATTAACCAGCAGCCAGTCAAGTGAAATTTAAACTGGGGAGATATGTTCAACCTTACATGTCCCAGTTAAAATTTGTGCAACAGCATTTTGAACGGTCTGCAGATGGGCAACTGAAGATGCCAACACCAAATTAAGGGCATTACAGTAAGAGGAGTTTTCAAAAATGTGTTGGTCACTGTCTCAAATTGTGCTTTGCACAGCATGAACTTTATTTTGGCAAGCTGCCGCAGCTGAACAACGATCGATTTGACAACAGCTTTTATCTGGCTGTCAGAGTTAAGATGGCTGTCCTTTTTAAAATCTTTGTTTGTGGCCACTGGCATCACAAACTGACCCAGAGAGCCAAGGTGTAAAGGTAGTGCTGGGATGTTTTTCCATGAGTTTGAGCAATTTTTACTTAAAGCAGGAAACTGAATCACATATTTATATAAAACCACCCAACATATCAAGAAATATTATTAGCCAGATTTAAACCCTAAGAAATCCTCTATTCAGGTCAAAACCGTGCATTCAGCTGAGCTGATGAGAATAAAAATACATTTTGTCCTCAAAGCGAAAAGACCAAAAAAAAAAAAAAAAAGTCATGATTAATCAGGTGAACAAGATGTAGGCAATAAAATATGTCTATTTGGCTTGCAAGTAAGATGAACTGTGGCAAGATTTGTGAACTCACAAACTACCAAAAACATTTTTGCCAGAAGACAACAGTTGTGTTAGCCTTGACACAGAAATGTTTCAGACCAACAACAACAAGCAAAAGGAAAAGATTTTTGACTTTGTGGTTGGGAAAGATGTTTGCATTTTCCTCCCAACCAGATTTAATAAGACTTTGGTTTATCAGTTAACTCTGTTAGTTGTTAAACAGATTAAGAATGTGATACCTCACAGCTGCCACTGTGATTGGCTAAAAGCCCAACATGGGAGGAATGTGTTAATTAATTAACCCAATCAACTTGAAGAATTGCACTGAATGTCCCTCCCAATTGCAAATGCTTTCCATAGGGGCCTTTACAAATGCATACTGCACAGAACAAAAAAATTTACTACAAATATCAATCTTAGTTATGGCAGGTTACTGGCAATTCTAGATGTTCCAGCTCTAAACAATCTGAGACCCTCCCTTGGTACTGATGGAGAGCATTGCCAGTGGAGGAACGTGGAGGGAGGGTATGTGTGTTCGGAAATCCTACTGACCTCTGTTTAGACTGTCCAGCATAATATAAGGCTACTAAGTAACTTTGCATCTCTGTGCCACTTTTAGATCCAAGAATCTCTCAGCTTTTTAGGAGGAGCTGATTGACAGATTGGAGTCACTGTAAGCTGTCTTCATCACAGCCCCATTTTGAAGTTACTCTGATATACATTTCCTGAAAACGTGTTTGAACAGATGCACATCAAATTAGCTTTTATTGAGCTGTATCCAATCTCTTATTGCTATAAGAAAGTATTTTCCTTATAAAACTCTGCTGATACTCATAATGTGCAAAAGTGTCTCACTAATATAGCGGCACGTTCAACGGCTCAACTTAGGATTCCTAATGACAACCATTCTAAATGATAATTGAATCTGGACTGGACAAATCTTCGAAGTTGAAGAAACTCACTGCAATCACCCTAATCTTTAAGCTTTTTTCACTAAACCAAGTTGAGATTTAAAAACTTCAGTCCTACATCAGCTTAAAGGCAAGAGGCTGCTCAAGTTTTTAAGTGAATAAATCTCAATCTAGCAGTGGCCTATGCAAGTTTTAAAAATAAATGTAATGACAGTGTAGTTGCTCAACTTACCTGGTAACTCTGGTAGAAAGTTGCTGAGCTTCTCCTTCACTTTCTTCCCACAGAACTTATTGTAGGCATGTTCCAGGTTGTAGTGTGTGATGAGGTTTGTGTTGCCTGTTAATTCGTTTCCAACTAAAGACACAAATTTATGTCAGCAAAGGTTTCCTCACGAATATATATATATATATATATATATATATATATATATATATATATATATATATATTTATGACAAAGTTATTTGACATACTCTGTAACATTATGTGAACCAGGACTGTTGATGCTACAAGGAAGCACATTCACTCTGGTCTATATTAGGAAAAAGCAAAACTATAAAGTCTATTAAAACAAATCGTTTAAATTTAAGCTTAAATGAGAATGTATTAATGTCAAAATGTACAAAAAGAAACTGTCCTTATGACAAAAGATTGGCTAATAAGTTAGCTTCAACTGTGTAGTTAGCATTGTTAGCACGGTAGTTTACAAAGTGTTTATTAGCCAATAACACGTTATATTTTTATGTTTTGAATACAAATATCACCCAATGTATCCGGGTCGTGTAATAATGGAACTGTACCAGGAAGCTCTCGCAGTAAATAGAAATGTTCGTTCATGACTCCGGACTTTCGCATAGCAGGCCCTTCATCCACGAGCTGTGGTGGAATCTGCCCCGGCATAGAGACCTGATTCTGCGGGATGGGTGGCGGTGGTTTTCCGGCTCCAAAACCTAAAGACGAAGACCCCGGCGGTCCCTGGGCTTCATTTGGCCCAAACAGAGTGGAATACATTTCTGTCATATTTATCAATCAATAGTAATACACAAAACGCATTTAAAGAAAAAAAAAGCCGATATTTTCTAGTTCTCCTATCCGTTTACGGTTAGCGGCTATCCATACGTGCGTCAACTGGCTTCCTTCTCTTCTTTGTGGCTTTATTTTCATGACTAATGTACCGTAATACCGAAAATAAACACGCCAAATACCGTAATACCATGTGCAAACATTAAAAAAAGACCCACAAACATAATAAACTGTATTTGTTTATTTATTTTTTAACATAATGGTTGAGTAAACAAATATTTACATTTAAACAGTTTGCTGTGTTAAAAAAAAAAAAAATCACTCATCAAAAAAATCAACAGGGTTAAGGGAAGAGGCCACTCTTTCAAAGTCGATCACTTTTGCCTGAAAATTACAAAAACAAACAAAAAAGAACCATTAATCAATCAATTTGGATTTTAACTTTTGACCATTTAATATTTTTTTTAATTCACAAAAATATTTAAATCTTTAAAAATGTGTTTATTTTTTCATTTTTGCCTCAAACTTCTTTGCCTAATAAACTAAAAGTTAATTCTTTAAAATTAACCAATGCATGGATCTGCTATACTGATGTCAAGATAATAGGTATTGGCCTGGAAAAGAACATTTAGCGATCAATGTCTAATTTAAGCCCCCAGAGACATTAGACTTATTAAAGCTGCAGCCTGTAAATCTTTAAAGTATGATACAAATTGCTTCGTCTTATTCCTTACATTCCACTCATCCACATCCGTTGAAACGCATTGCTCAGTCTGAGCAATCTTCTCTCTCCCGGCTCGAACCCTCTCTGCCAGCGCGGCGTTTTCAGCTTGAATTTTCTTCAGCTCAAGCTTCATATAAGCTTTTTGCTTCTGATAGTATGGCATCAAAAAGCTGCAGAAGTCCTGTTCAGGAACTCCACTGGGCCGCCTTAGAGAAATGATAAAAAAAGGGAGACCAAAAACCTTACAGCTTTGATAATTATTAAAAGAAAAAGAGTTTGTCTTATTATAAAAGAGCTTGCTCATTTTTTTATTTCGGTGTGATTAATTTAAATCTCCAAATACTACTAAGTTTAATATTTAACCAGTAACTGTTTCCTTATAAAGGCAAAAGAGAACTAAGTCAGCAGTTCCAGAAGACATCTTAATATTCTGCACTCACTTTTATTAAGTGAACAAATAATGGTGATAAAATAGAAGAAAAAAAAAACACAAGCACCTGCGCATGCTTATAAAGCCATTAATTAGCTCTTTTACTTACAGAAAAAATGGTGAGAATGAGAAAGTTTTTTGAAAGTAAAGATTTCTACTGACCATGCAGGTTCAGGGTTGTCCTTTGCCTCATTTTCAAGCTTGTCCAGTTCTTGAAATTTGCTCTCAATCTTGCCTTCTTCCATTAATTTTATGATGTCCTCCTTAATTTGAAGAGAGAAATAAGTGAGAATTTAGTACACAATGTTACTGATGTTCATTATTCACTATAAGGGCTTCTTCTCCAGTCTCCTGCTGAAGGACAGCATCAAATGAAGCACAGAGACCCCAGTTTATACTCCATCATGACACATTTTGTTTCACAAACTATTCTTTCAGACCAAGATTAAAACCACAAAACTTTTGCTAAAACTTTAGTTGAATAATTAATAACACAGCCTGTAAATAATAAAAAAAAATACATCAGTAAAAAACCATTTCCAATGCTGTCTGCAAATGTAAACAATTAAAAAGGCAATTAACTTTACATGCGTTACATATTGTGCTTCTCACCTGTATAGATTTCTGCAGCACCACTGTAAACTGATTGTGAATTTCTTCCATCCTCTTAACGTTCTCCTTGTACAGCGGACGGAACTTACTGGAAAATACCTTAAAACTGTAAGAGAGATGTGTCAGCCCTGTTGTTTTTGCCTCGTTTACAGCTGATTTGTAATTTTTCTGCTTCATCTTTGTGAACAAAAAAAGACATGCAGTTATGGAAAGCAAAGTATTGTTGTGTTTATTGCTTTTTTTTCAGGTCATAAATCTTTAGAAAAACAAATCTGAAGAAAACTGATTTTTTTTTTTTCCAAGACCATGTTAAGATAATTTGCTTTGGAGAAAAAGAGGGCCAGGCTAAGTTAAGACCTTTAGAGATGGACATTTATGGCATTGTTCATCGTTATCATTTCTCAAGTTAAGAAAAAAAAGGTAATGGGTAGCACTGCTGCCATGCAGTAAGAAGGTTCAGGTTCGATTCCCGGCCTTGGGTCTTTCTGCATGGGGTTTGCATGTTCTCCCTGTGCATGCACGGGTTCTCTCCGGGTACTCTGGCTTCCTACCACAGTCCAAAAACGTGTTAAAAAAAAAAGGTGAAAAATTAAAAAGTTCCTAATTCTAGTTAACTATTATATTTAGATGTATAAACTAAAAAAATTAAGTCTCAGTTTCAGCATTAATGCCTCTAAGGTTATGTTGTACCAAAGTTATGCGTTTGTTTCACTCTCAGTGTTTTGCATGAATTTCTTATAGAAGCACTTTTGTCATTTTTCTTAATATATTCGGGAAATTGGCGTTTCTTTTTATTACATTGACATACATTTTTGCCATCAAAGTATCCATATTTTTTTATGTTCCAATAACGTTGATTTTCAAAGTATTTCACTGAGGGCCCTATAAAGGGTTAAATGAAGTTCATTTTCATAGACTACTAACATTTAGTATAGCATGATCGAACTAATTAAAATGTTGTTTCTTTAGCAGATTTACTGACATATTACCTGGCATTCTCTATGAACCTGTTCAGGCTTTTCTGGATCACTTTATCGAACAGCTTCAGCCGGTTGTACCGAGCAGTCGTCTCCTCCGCCGCTTTACCAGAAGCTTCTCCACCGCCTGCTGTATCGCTCTGCTTCTCGGTGGACTCGTTTTCTTTCTGCTTCACATCTTCAGTCTCTCCTGGAGTGTCGTGTTCCTCCATCTTCACCGAGCTTTGTTTACGTTCTTTCGGAAGTACCCGCCAAATCTACGGCAAGCCGCTGTACCCAAAAAGCGCGAAAAAAAAAGAAAAAAAAAAAAGAGTTGTGCTGTGCGCGCATGCGCAGTGTAACCCACGCTTCTCAGCTGTCTTTTCATTTCACCCCTGTAGTGTGTCCTGGTGGACTGTCTCCTCTAACAGCATGGGGTTAATAACGGGAGTGCTCGCCCTTTTGTATCATCTACCTCAGATTTACAAATGGCTACTGAAACCTTACTATATCGTGTCGTTTCTAATGACCGTCGCCTTCTTGGTGGTAAGAAAGACTCCTGGACTGTGCGAGCACCTGGCGACCGACCGGGAGGACGGCAACTCCTGTGACTTCGACTGGGTGAGCATGCTGGGAGAGGAGGGGGTGGTGCTGCATGCAGGGCTGCTCTCTGATAAGATAATAACTTATTAAATATTTATGAGATTGTTTATAAATGTGTTTTTGTTTGTATGTTTTACAGAGAGAAGTTGAGATACTGATGTTTCTGAGTGCAATAGTGATGATGAAGAATAGAAGAGCCAGTAAGTCCAACTCTTATTGTTTGTCTTTAATGTGACATAGAAATGTTCTGTGAATACAAAGTTAATTGTTGTTTGATAGTTTAGATAAGAGAGCAGGACACATCCAGGAAGTCATTCCCTGAAATCCTGCCTTTATTGTGTAAACATTATAGGTGCAGAGTAATCCCACCCTCATTTGACCTTGCTCAGAAGTCTGAAGGTTTTCCCCTACATGCTTAAGTTAATGATTCTTCTTTTCTTTTTCAGTAACCTTGGAGCAGCACATAGGGAACTTGTTCATGTTCAGCAAAGTGGCCAATGTAATCCTCTTCTTCAGGCTGGACATTCGGCTGGGCATCCTCTACCTCGCTCTGTGTGTAGGTCAGTCATTCCTTAGGGTTCCACAGATCAGCACTGCAATCAGTATTTAATTCAACTTTATTGATCTCACATTGGAGAAATGTACCTCTGTATTTAACCCATCCATTTGAGGAGCGGTGGGCTGCCATCGGGGGGGCTCAAACTCAGATCATCAGGATTCAAAGCTCTAAGCCCTAACCACACAGTGTATTGAACAGTGTGAATTCATAAAGCCATGGATGAACACATGTTCTCTTTGCTGCTCCTAAAGCATCCACACTGGGACAGAGAATTTAATTAATAAATAAAAAAGAAACTTTGGTGAAATGGACCCCAAATTCATCCAGTTCTACTGACCAACAAAGTACCGAAGTGTGCAGCATAAGCTATAGGTTTTCTAGTTTCCTTTTAAATAATATAAGATAAGATATAAGATTGGCTCAATAGTCAAAAGAAGGTACCAAAAGGAGAAAAAAAGGTGCATGGGGTGTATATATATATATATATATATATATATATATATATATATATATATATATATATATATATATATATACACCCCATGCACCTTATATATATATACACACACACACACACTGGGTTGAGAAAAAAAGGCAATGAGGCAGAGATTTAAGGTGATATGTACATTTAAGGTGACTTACTGTATACATGTACGGATTTGGCATTGTTTGGTACCAGGTAAAGAACAACAGTGGGGTAATGAGATAACTATAACAGCTGAGTTTTCTTATTTAACAGGATTATTGCACAGGGTATTAAATAGTTATTGCACATTCGTTATTGCAGTTATAGTGCAGCATTGTAAAGTCTGATGGCAGCAGGGATGAATGACCTGCGGTAGCGCTCCTTTTTAAAAACAGGGTGTAAAAGTCTTTAAATACATTTAGTGGAAATTTACTGAAATGTACTTTCATACATTTAATTAACATGCAAATTAAAACTATAAAGGTTTAAACTCTATCTTCAATAGAGTGCTTTTATTGTCCTAATATTATAAATATACCTTATGCTTTCTATAAGTCAACAGTCAAGATTTCTTTGCAACAAAACCTCCCGATAGCTTTGATGTAAAACAAACGATTGTTTTAAAGCATCATCTTGATTATGGGGGAGGATCTATGAAGCTATAGTGTTAGACATCTTTACCTGAGGTAGCAATAGATGGGAGTTTTTGGAAAACTGCTTTTAAATGTTTGTTAATATTGTTATTACTTCCAGGCTTTCCTGATTACTTCCCATCTCTAAC